CCAAGAACACACACACACACACACACACACACACACACACACACACACACTCTCTCTCTCTCTCTCTCTCTCTCACTCTCACTCTCACTCTCACTCTCACTCTCATTCTCACTCTCTTCCTTTTTTTGTCTTCTCTAGGTGTTCCCTTCCCAAAGAACTTCCTTCAGATCTGCAAGAAGATCCTGTGCCGCCTTTTCCGGGTCTTTGTCCACGTCTACATCCACCACTTCGACCGGGTCATTGTGATGGGTGCAGAGGCCCATGTCAACACCTGTTACAAACACTTCTATTACTTCGTCACAGAGATGAACCTCATAGACCGCAAGGAGCTTGAGCCCTTGGTAAGTGTCACTGTGCAGTGATAACACCCAAGTCACCCCCAGGAGCTCAGCCATTTGTCACAGTACACTTCTAGACCCATGTGAAATACTCACTAATGGCTAGTTGTTAGCCAAAGCATTGCAGAATTAGACAGGCTTTAGAGGTCAGTTAAAGGTCAAAAGATGCCAGGATGTCCATGGCCAATAAATAAGGGTCTTAAATTTCTCTCAAAGAGGTGATACAATGCAATCGGATTATAGTGGTTTGGGCCAAAGGGAGTAGCTTTAATTCTCAGCTCCAAAACCTACTAACTTAATCCCTTAAATGGGCATCTTTGATCTCTTATTTCATCTCTTACACTGTTATTGAAAGACGATCAGAAACATTTTTTAGGTCAGTAAATAAATATTTAGCACCTACTGTGTGGCAGCTGCTAGACAATATCTAGTAAAACTGCCATTGACTAGCTTTTACTCCAGAGATAAAGACAGAAGTAAGCCTAGATAAGAATACATCACGGGAGCTTTGCTTTTCATCTTGAATCTCCTGTTACACAATTTTAATAAAGTATATTAGAATCCAGAACAGTTAAAATAAAACTTTACTATTATCATTTAGGTGAATGGAGACTACATTCATTTTCTTCATGAAAATGAAGTTATTTTTATAGTTGGATTCAATCTGTACTCTAGAAGTCAAAGACCCCTAAAAACCCCATCATCTTTTATAACGTGGTAACTTAATGTGGATGCTCCCATCATGGCTATTTCTAGTCAGATCTGTTGAGTACTTTCTTAGTATAATTCAGTGCTTTATAGTAAAAACATGCTTTTTCTCTCAAAACAGTTAAAGTGACAGTCTTGCTAAATTTAACCAATAGAGCAATTACATTTCATCCAAGTCCATCTGAATAGTGTCCTGAATGTAAGGGCCAGGCTGTCATCTTTTGCTATCCTAGCTTTCTTTCTCTTTATGTATATGCCTTTAAAATATAGGTTTTATTATCATTTATATATAATGGGGCCGACAGATCAGGAGATGACTGCCAGTGGAAGGGTAGTTATACTCACCGTTCTCAAGACAAAGGTTTACACCATGTCATCAGAGCCACATAGGGAAGCAGCCAAGTTGGTCAGAGGCAGAGGGAGCAGGGACAACATGGACAAGAGCCTTTATTATGGTTTCCTTTGGAAGGAGTGGGCAAGGAAGGTAAGCAGGTTTAAGTTGGACTATTTTGAATAATTTCAATGGGCTCTGGGGTCTGGGGACTGCCCAGGTTCCCTGGTACCTGGATATGGGGTGATTAGGACAGGGGAATAGTAGCCCTAAGCATGACAGCTGATAGAGGAGGTGATTGGGGTGGGGCTCTGGATTTGTTGATTTATATTGGTTGGTGAGTAAAGAGCTTGAGAGTGAGTTGTTCACTATCTTGGCTAGCCCTGGGAGAGGTAGTCCCTCCAGGGTCAGCAAGGCCCTGGATGTTAAAGAATCAAAATACAAAAATAAAAGACATGTACATAGACAGCACAATACCTCTATCTGGCAAAGAAGACATCGGTGAATTTTATCTATCACCTTTAGAGTTTCTCAACTTGAATCTATTATTGTGCTATGAGAGTAAGTGGCAAAAAAAGTTTTTCTTTGCATCACTCAAGAGTTCTGGAACGAAGCAAAACTTTCTGGGTATATCATTGACTAAAGAAGTGCCAATTTTCTTCATTTTCTTTCACAACAGCTTTCTGAAAGGGGCAGGAACTAAGTTGTCTCTGAATTTGGTTGGACAACTAGTATGGAAAGAAGCTGAAACACATTATGATTGAGTTTTGCTAGTTTGTCCTATAAATACTTCAAGGGAGTTAAAATTTTGGAAAAAGCAATAAAGCTAATGTCAAAAAATACCAAGGGCAGAGGAGAGAGTGGATAGGGGCTATGTAAATGAAGAGTAGAGGAACCACTTTGATCACAGGGAGAACATGGTTCTGCTTTGGGGGAGTTTAGTTTCGTTGTCTTCAAGTGACATGTTCAAGTGGAGGGGAAATACCTTCCCCAAAGGTTTGACAGAAGGAAGAGGCTCTCCTAAGTACTCACAGTTTTGGTTTCACTGATCTAAAGGAGCAGAAACATCAGATGGACAGATCTAAAAGTCAGTTTCTTCTTAACATACAGAAATATAAAGGCCATTGTAGGATGAAGCTGAATATAAGTCAGCAGGCAGAGAAAGCCTTTCTTTGTCATAAGACAACTCTGTTATTTTCTGAAGAAGAGCTGCAAGGATTCTAACATCTGGCAGTGCCAAGAGCTGACTGAAGTCTCAAAGTCACAGAAGGGTCCCCCAAAACTCTATATTCTAGATAAGAGCCTCTTTGGGGAAAAAACTATAATTGTATATATAGTTTTTATCAGGAATTATTAACAGTAGAAGTGAGCAAGAAAGAGGTATCAGTTTTTTCCCCAGAAGCTTATATTTATTTAAAACAGTGTCTTTCCTTTTATGCTTTGTTCATTATTATTACAGGGAGATTAATTTTAATGTTTTTATATATTAATAATGAGTGTTTTTAATAATTACCTAAAATTACATATTCATTTTATACAAACCAAAGCCTATAAAGTAATACAAAAAGATATTGAGAATGTTTCTAAGGACAATGATAATATAGTGTCAGGCTCTTAGCATAGTCCAGTGTCCACTAAGAATACTGTACTTGTGTATTGTCATTACTGAAATGAACACTTTCAATTGCTGATAGTGCTGGAATACCTAATTTCTAAGTTCTAGTGTTGCAATGCACATATTAAAATCAGTCATATCATATCAAGTCAACACATTTTCAGTTGATTCGTGTGCATCAAGTACCCTATACATACAAAGAAAGTTGCTCAGATGTTCTAAGTGCGTAAGAAAGATATGCTTTAGAGAATTTACAAATGCACTCTAAAAAATGTAAAATAATGCCTGTTCATCTTCAACCCTTGAAGTACTTTGTGGATGAAGCACCTCCATTCAAAGGGATGATAAAAAAAAAATCCAGCATTTGGCTTCACATTATAGTTGTACATTCTTTAGACTCTAATACAGCTAAGGGCCAGAGAGCAGCATTTGTCTGGCCTGCTTTCCTTAGAACATCAGCATTCCCAGAGTTCCCACACCTCCAGTGGGACATTTCTGGAGTCATGCCTTGGGATTCCACAGTATAGAATTAGAAACCTCACTTTATGTTTTTCTCTGCCATGCTTTCGTCATGCACAACCACAATTCTCTGCTCCCACAGCCCACCTGCTCCTTTTATTTGATATTGACTGACTGTCCAGCACACTGGTTGTGATGCAGGTCCAGCCCCCACAAGGGTAGAGATTCAGTCTCAGACAGTGCTGGAGACAATGCTCAACTCTCTGGGTTCAAACCCTGGATGCTTCCTTTACTAACTTGCAATCTTGAGTAAGATAGTTGACTTTTCATAGCTGCATTTTCCTCATTCATAGAATGAGTATAATAATAGAATTTTTATAAAAATTAAATGGGTTATTCTCATGGTAAGTGCTTAAGAAATGTTGGCTGTTAAGTGAGATCTGAACATAAAGTAGCAGCATGTAGTAACCAGAGGTACCCTATTGCTCCTGTCCCTAGACTGTATGGTCTTTTGCCTTTTTAGTGACCCCTCAGGTAGCCTTGTAGCAGATATAGTTCATGGTATCAGTGTCTCCCTCTTCGAGGGTTGGGAGTGTACAAGACGTAAAATGCATTGCCCGTATTGCCTAGTACATAATAAGCACCAGCTGTGCTTTTGAATTGAGAGGCGTACTCTGTGAATGACACACCTCCACTCAAAGAGATTACACACCAAGTGTTCCTTCCTTGGTGCCTCCCTCATCTCAGAATGTGCCTGCAGACCTCCATTTATCCATTGTTAGAAGTTATGCCTCACCCTATTGGATGAGCAATTGAGATTAAAAGCGAGATAAGGTGCAGGGCAGTGAAGAGATGCATCGTTTAGTCTTAGGCCTGACAGAGAAAGATGAGACCCTGATTCTCAGACAATTCTCTGTTCCATATTTCAATTAAATCACTCAGGGAATGTTAAGTGCTCTCACACTGCCTGTGTCCTGGTGTGTCAGGCACAAATGGCTGACCTTCCCAAGAGTTAGCACTAAAAATCTCATGTCCTGGGAAAACTCTCAGTTCCTGGCAAGCTGGGACATTTGGTCACCTATCAAGCCTCTGAGTGGGAATATGATTTGGAATTCAGAAGCTGGGAAGAGGTCACCCGGGCCAGCACACTGAGGAAGGCCAGCATGGCCTTCTGCCTACAGAGCTAGCCTCATGGATCCCTTTGGGACCTGCTGGTCAGCAACAGCCTGGGAACTCAGGGAAACACATGCAATTTCATTTGGTCTCCAACAGGGAGGAGAGGCTGCAGGACTGACACACAAATGTGACAAAGGATTCATTTCTCATATAAGTGCAACAGCTGAAGATGGACTTGAACTCAAGCAAGTCTACAGTTAGAGGAAAGGAGTCCAAATGATGCTGGTAATTAGAAAATGGGGCAAGCCCTGATTGAATAAGCAGACTGCTGTCAGCCCTTGGCACTTGGCAGCCCGAGTCAGCTGACAGAATTGATCTAATCAGAATTATCATTAGCAAGCACAAGCAGCCGGCAGTGTTTTGTTGGCCTTTCACTAAAAACAAAAGCGGACTCAGAGAGGACTGTTAGCAATGCAGTAGCTAGTGAATAAAGGGCTGACTAGGGAGGAGGAGGAGAGATGTTGGAGAGGTAGGGAGGAAAGAAAGGAAGGTGCTTGTTTACTCTAATACACCCGCTGACCCCTGAGTGACCTTGGTCTAGGGCTTTCACCTTCTCTCTCCAGGGCTTCATTTCCTTATTTCTAACAATGAAGGTGATTATATCATCAAATACTTTGTAGAGGTGCTGCTGCAAAACCAAATGTTTTCACAGGGCTGATCTGTTACCTTATAGCAGGGTACTTGGACCGCAGGATCACTTTAAGTCAGCGTTTC